TATATATGTCGCCGCTAACCTTCAGACGGTCTACCTCACTAGCTGATCGCTTAAGTCCATTTTATGCTGGGTGGGCTGTACCTGGGGACGGCTGCGGGGAATCAGCCCTCCCCCCCCCTCCCAATCCACACTCAGAATCCGAAGTGAGAGATAAGAGAACCTGCATCCTAATGAATTACATAACTGTTCATCCCTACTTTTATCCAACGCAGGATGGTACCGAAATTGTGCTAAATACGGAACACACCATTCAACTTGACCCACCACGCTGCAACGTTTTGAAGTAAATATATTCTAAAACTGCAATTAAAAATGTTAAAATTTACTTGCGTTACATATTTTCCCTTGAATTATATAATACGCATCATTTCAAGGAATAGATGTAAAATGTCATTGTGACCACTGTCAACACTACCCACCTTACCCCGCTCCTCCTAATATTAGTAAAAATAATTAAATAGAGCAATGGTCCAGTATTGTTAACAATACTGAATACTGGGCCATGCTGGTTGGTGACCACAATGTGGTCATTGGTGACCATCGTCAACGCTACCCATCTCGCCCCACTCCGCCTATTAATAATGTTATTTTAAAGGGGTAATGGCGCATTATTGTTGACAATACTGGCCATGCTGGTTGGTGGCCACAATGTGGTCATTGGTGGCCCTCGTCAACGCTACCAATCTCACCCCGCTCCTCCTAATGCAAACATTATTTTAAAACGGCTATGGCTTAGTATTGTTGACAATATTGGGCCTTGGTGACCATCGTCAACGCTACCCCGCCCCTCCTAACTATGATTATTTAAAAGGGTTATGGGCCTTGGTGACCATCCTCACAAAAGGACTATTGTTGACAAAACTGGACCTTGGCCATCGTGAACGCTACCCATTTAGCTGTTGTACAAGCAGTGGTATCATCTGCTAAACAATTGGCAAAAAGTCAAGTTTTAAAGCTGTTTCACAATACCAGGTACGCGCAAAATAGTGTGTTTGCTAAAACAGAAGTGAGCCTTTGTAAATTTAGCAAACTGTTTTGCTATTCCAGCAAAATGTTTCTGGAACAACAAAAATTTAGCTGGAACAGAAAAAATGTTTGCTGTTCCCATAGCAGCAAAAGAAAGTTAGCAGGAACAGCAAGACAGTTTGCTAAATTTACAAAGGCCCACTTCTGTTTTAGCAAACACACTATTTTGCGTGCACATATGCGCTTGCTCATTTTTTTTTATTATTCCTAAGCAAAGCAGAAAGGTGGGGTGTAGTCACGGTGTTGCCCCGTTACATTCTTTTCTTATGTCCAAGGAGCAAATCCCTAGGGCCGCAGACCGGAAGCCTAAGTTTTAAATATGCAAAGTGCCTTACAGTGACCCAACGCAGCCGTAAGGCCGAGCTAGGCTCGGCCCCCGCCGCACGAAGTTGCCTCCGGAGCGTAGTGTGTGTCCGTAAAGAAAAGTCTAACGAGGGCACTAACCGAGGCTTAGACAAATCGAAGGCCCGCTACATTATTTGATAATTTTTTTCAGTAAATCGGGTGACTGAAATGCGACCCTCGCCGCCGGTAGGCCAAGCAGGCCCGGCCCCTGCCGAACGGAGTTGCCGATGCAGCGAAACGAAGCTGGCAACTTCGTTTGGCGGAAGGGCGGGCCTGCTTGTTCCTTTTTTCTCCCGTTCATGTTAGCAAACCCACAATAATAATAAGAAAGTGCTGCAGAGATCGCCGAAAACCACACAGGCTTGTCTTTTGGAGCAGCGAAACAGATAAGGCAAGTCTTTCGGAGCAGCGAAACAGATAGGATATTGTTGCACGGATGCGTCGATTTGCGACCGACGCAGGGGTGGTGCGTTGTTTTGCAATACATGTCCAGAATCACCATCTCAAGACGCGCCTTGTCATTGAACAGAACCAAAGCACCTTTCAGTCGCTCCAAAATAGCGTTACGGACACTGTTCTGTCAGACATGTGCCACTCTGGAATTGCCTCGTTTGCCTTTTAAGTTACAGAGCCTTGCGTAAGGGTTATGCCCAATGATAGACACATTCAGAGATGCATTTGCCCAGCGATGGACACCCCTTTTTCTTGGAATGTAAAGAACAGAGCGAGGTAGTTTGGCTCATTATACCCCAGAAGGGATCGGGGTCTTAATAGAACATTAGTTTCGTGCCAACATCGTAAAATGGAAAGTATGGCTGCAAACCGAGAAAAGTGTCCATCACTGGTACAGTGTCCATCAGTGGGCCCGTTACCCTATATGAGATGGCAAAGTGAAAAACGACCCGAACGGGAACGTTTCAAATGAGGGCATGTTTTTATTGTGCAGTGACTCAAGCCAAAGACAAATCTGATCAAAGAATAACAATATCTTACCCAGGCACTATCGTCTATTGGTACTGGAGCAGTCAAATTTCCGCTAAGAACTTGCAATTGTTTCGGTTTCTGTGGATTGAAGTGTGAAACTCGCATATTCCATGACCATTTGCCCTCTTTTTCGCACTGGTAAAACCTATCGGCGTAAGATATGAATGGGCCCTGAAAAGTAGAATTTTTTACTGCACAAAGAATGAGATCATGGAGTCCGGCGTGGGTAACGGATTAGTGTAGTCTTTGTACTCCTCTCCGATTGTACAGTAGCCGCTCTGATAGAGTCCACCCCGGGGGGAAAATGACTCACGGTAAAAAATAACATCTAGAATTAACAGAAAATATCCTGTTTATTTTTTCATTGACTCCGTGTTGTTGAGTAACAACAAAAGTTGTTGAGGGACAACAGAGGCTGTTCAGGGACAACCAAAGATTATTCAGGAACGACAAAAATTGTTCAGGCGCACAAGAGAATTGTTTATTTACAACAAAAGGTGTTCAGCAGCAACAAAGGTTGTTGAAGAACAGCAATCGTTTTAAGAAACAACATAGCAGTTTAGGAACAACATTACTGTTTTGCAACAAACATTGCTGTTTTGCAACAAAATTACCGTTTTGCAACAACTTCTGTTGTTCTCAATCGACATTGTTGTTTAAATACTAGCTATATGTACGCCAGACCAAGTCTCGCGCAGCAGACTTCGCGATATCACGAAACACTGTTACGCTGCGACGCGCCTGGCGCACATATTAGCCAGGCCTGCGGCGTTAACACCCGAGACGAGTTAATAGGAAAGTATAAAAAAAATTCGATATAAAGCCATTTCTTACGTTTTAATAGACAATTTGGTCTTTTTCACCTTATTTTTGTCAATGCCCTCTAGCACCCTAACTATTTTTATGAGTTAGACACTGCTCATCAAAATTAGCAGGCGGATTTTTTCAACGGACGTCGTTTTTATGTTTTTTGAGCCAGGAAGCTAAAACATTTGGTATGCAGGCGTCCCAATCATTCATCTCGAGGCTCGGGAAGTGCGCAAGCCGTTGGCGACCCCAAACGAGCTGTGCACCCCCTAGGGAAGGGTGTAAAAACCGGCCGTAACAACTCCAAAATTGACACTCGGAAAGTCATCATTTTTCAAGAATCGACTCAACTTTCCGCTCTCTTTCGAGCGGTGCAAGCGAAATTGCAATCGGACAGCCCCTCCCCCCTCCACACTCACCCCCACCCCCTCAAAGGTTTGAGTTTTGTGGTTGGTCAAAACCAGGTTGATATCCTCTGAGGACGTCCCCTGTACACGGCCCATGTGTTTTTCAGCCCGCGCTTCAGCTTTTTAACCCGCCCCTCTGCTTTTAAAAGAAGCACTAAAGCCTGCTTATGCAACTGCTCTCGTGTCTGTCTGTCTGTCTGTCGTCCGTGTAAGAGGAAGGAGATGAGCTAAAGGTCTAAAAGTTTCATGGTATCTTGAGGGTCACTCCTGGGAACAACGAAACGCCTGGTGCAAATCCTGGCAACCACCCCTACACTGAAATCCGTTTTGTGATACTTTTACTTAATTTCTGCGATAGCTGGTGTTTTGCTATTCCCACACTAATGGGCATGATAACCCAAAAAAATGTGATGAAAGTATTACATTTTTGTGATAAAATCATCACAAAAATGTAATAAAATAGTTTTTGTGATGATTTTATCACATTTTTTGGAGTTATCATGCCCTTTAGCGTGGGAATCGCAAAACACCAGTTATTGCATGGTTTTGTGTTAAAAGTATCGCAAAACTAGACTCAGTGTAAGGGGGTGAAAGGGGTTAACAAAGAAATAAGGGTTGGCCCAAACAGTAGGTATTTTTTTTTATGGTCTTCTTAGGGTTACCTCGTGAAAGTAGAGTCCCCTTGAATGAAAATGTTGTCCGTTTGACTCTATCTTGCACCGTTTGGGCGCTTGAGTGCTTTATTCGACAAAAATACGGCGAAAATGACCACGTTGCACATAAAGACGTACAAGGAGGCGTCCAATAGCCTGCCCGAAATTGGAGGTAGAAGTGACGAATTGAGGAGGTTCGGGCGCTAAATGACAGAGGACATTAAACGATGATTTCCAGTCGCTGTCCGAGGTCCGTGCGACAACGTTTAGGGGTCGCGCCACTCGATTTTCGAAACGCCCTCCGAGAGCGCGGGAAAGAGGCTCGCTTCTTGTTGGGAACGTTGTAGGCGCTGCGCGCCACCGGAGGTTTCGACGAGGGTTTAAACTGAGACCTTGGGGGTTATAGTTTACATCCAGCAAGTGCAATTGGTCACCACCGTCGCCCCCCAGGTAAATGGGGTTGTATATGGCCATATACGATTTGTATATGATCATATACAGCGATATATGCTTTATATATGACGACATATATGCCCACATATATGGTTGTATATGGTCATATATGATCATATATGCTTGTATATGGGCTTATATATTACCATATATGGGTCCATATATCACCATATATGTTTCGATATACAGCCATATATGGTCATATACAAGCATATATGCTAATATAGTGCTATATATGGCTGTATATCGAAACATATATGGTGATATATGGACCCATATATGGTAATATATAAGCCCATATACAATTAAATATAATCCATATTTAGTAATATATGGTCATATATGTGGTCATATATAAGGACATATATTACCATATACAGAGCATATATAATTATATATGAAGCATATATAACCCTCATTTACCTGGGCCCGTCAACGCCAGGGGCCTAAGTGTCTCGTTCCGCGTCACTTGCGCTCGGCGCTCGAAGTCCGCAAGAGTTGCGGTTTTTTCTTCGCAGACTTAAAGGGCACCTCATACCCTTTCGATAGCAGTATCGCCTGTCAAAATGCGCAACCTGAAACGGGGTTCAAAATCTAAAAAACACGCCTGGAGACGCCTGAAGAGGGTCATCTGGCTACCCGCAGTACATGCGTGTATGCAGGTGTTGCCTAGTAATCGGGATGAGGCCCCAAGCAATCTGTCAAAATTAGAACTTTTAATGAAATCGGTTACCGAACAGCAGGACGTTTCATGTCCCTAATTTTAGAGTAATAAGACCCTGACAAATGGTTCGAGTATGACAAATTTTGGGCCCGGAAGGCCCTGTTCCCCTATACCCTCTCCTTAACTCGTCTCGGGTGTCAGCACCGCAGGCCTAGCTATGTGTGCGCCAGGTGCGTCGCAGCGTAACAGTGTTGCGTGAGATATCGCGAAGCCTGTTACGCGAGACGTGGTCTTATTTTTTATTCCTTTCCAAAGCAGATGGGTGGGGTGCAGGCACGGTCTCGCATCGTTACAGTCTTTTCTCATGTCCAGGGTGCAAATCTTTTGGGCTGCAAGCCCGCCTGGAAGCCTTAGTTTTACTCAAGTAAGTAAATTGACTTATACACTGTAAAAAATTTATATAGTAGATTTCCTCTAAATGTATCTGCAGCAATTCACATATACATGTATGGGAATTTTCCCATACAGGCGTATGGTAATTCTACCATACGCGATAGTATTCTTACCATACAAGTATAGGAATTCTCCTATACACCTGTGTAGGATAAGTACTATTAGTGCAAGAGGTACAATCAAATTCTCATAACAATCTTGCAAATCGTGATAAAAGCATGAAATTTGGCACATAGGTTCCTGAGACCATTTAGAAACTTTTGGTCCGCAGCCCATTTCGATGGCTGCGTGTGGAGCCGAGATATTGAACAGTTTTTGAACACCTTGTACAAAATGCGATTTTGGCTGTTCTAGCTATGAAAATCGGCGTAAACATGCCTCTTTGCTAATGTTTCACTTCGCGAGGATGTGTGGATGGTCCACTGATGTGATACCCACGGTGAGAAAGCCCCTGTACCAAATCTGTTCAAGGTTTGAACCCTTTTGAACACTTTGCAAAAATTATGCCAAAACGACAAGCAGGGTGTCGTTTCCGACTAATTGTACCCCTCTGATTTCGATTCTGCCATCCGATATTCATTTCCGGACCTTAGTGACGCTCAAAAAGTGCGCGGAAGGGATTGCACTGCTGGGTTGCCTACCCACCAGGCGCTCGGCATTTCTGTAAATTTGTGTGTTGGCCCAGAAAGACGTCTGAATGGGCTCTACACTTTACTGATCGTTCTGAAATTGCCTAGAGATCGTCTATTGCAAAATTACAGAATAATCCCACTATGTTTAATAGCTCAAATCTCGTTCAAAGTACAAAATATTAGGTTTTTCCACGTTCAAATGCAGGAAAATCGCTTTCTTTTATGGGTAGTGGGTTGCAAATATCATCAATCAACGCAGAATCACGCGGACGGAAAGAAAGTATACGGGTTTGTGGTGTTGAGATTGAAACAATTGTTGCCTGTAAAGAAAAACTGAGAAAAACTGAAATATCCCGACTTTTTTCGGTGTTCAAATTTTTGTTTTCGGCGTATTTTGATAAAACCAGCAGGTTTATGAAAAAAGTGACTTTTACAAACCATGCAGGGCCTGGCATTCTCTACAAAATTGAATCTAAGAAAATTTCTGTGTTTCATAATCTACAGGAGCGAGAATAGTTCAAACTCCTCGAAGCGGTGCTTGAGTTCAAAGCCCCATGCTGCGGCCTCTGAGGGGGTGATAGGCAACCGTCGTGACACCCTCTCCACTTCTTCCAGTTGAGGTCACATGTTTACTAATTTTGTTATACTGTTTACCTTTTTT